GTATTATTAATAGTAGTAGTAATAGCAGCAGTACAGCAGTAGTATTATTAATAGTAGTAGTAATAGCAGCAGTACAGCAGTAGTATTATTAATAGTAGTAGTAATAGCAGTAGTATAGCAGTAGTACTATTAATAGTAGTAGTAATAGCAGTAGTACAGCAGTAGTATTATTAATAGTAGTAGTAATAGCAGTAGTACAGCAATAGTACTATTAATAGTAGTAGTAATAGCAGTAGTACAGCAGTAGTATTATTAATAGTAGTAGTAATAGCAGCAGTACAGCAGTAGTACTATTAATAGTAGTAGTAATAGCAGCAGTACAGCAGTAGTATTATTAATAGTAGTAGTAATAGCAGCAGTACAGCAGTAGTACTAATAGTAGTAGACAGTAATAGTAAAGCTAGATAAAGAACAGTGGTGACGGGGTTCAGACTAACAAGCAGTCTCACGAGTAGCTGCTGTGCTGCTGTCGTCTGCGAGCACTCCTCATCTTCTCAAAGCGAGCCTCCATCTCTTCCAGGACCTTGGGGGTGTAGCGGACCACCAGTTTGGCTGAGCCCTGGGCAGCTTTCAGCAGCTCCACAGCCTTCTCGTGTTGCTCCGCCTCCACGCTCTGCACACACACAGGTTGTCTTTTATTGAAGGAATTTACACAGAAGAGTGTCGCGTTAACTGAAGTTAGTTTCTTGCTAGTAAAACCAAGCAGGGCTCACCACTCCGTTGACCGACAGCAGCTGGTCTCCTCTCTTTAGCCCTCCTTGGCGGTCAGCCACACCTCCAGGGATCACTCTGGAGATGTAGATGGGGGAGTTCTGCTCCTTCCCTCCCATGATGTTGAAGCCCAGCCCCTCTTCTGTCTTGGGCAGCTCCACCACCCTGGGGTGGGCGTGACCCTCGCTGGCTGCGAAGGCAGCTACTGTGGCCTACAGAGAGACAAAGTCCAACCATGAACAAGGACAAACGCTGTCTCWATGTGTCTGTGTGTCTCACAGCTAGGTCTGAGCCTGAACAAAGACCTTTATTTTGTTGGTTTAAYTTCCATCACAAGCAGTGTTCAGTTTTCATTTRACAAGGAAGAATAAAAACAGCTGCATGATGGAACAATGTGAGAACAATTACAGAGACTAATTTATCTATCTGAGGTTTTAATCTGAAGTCAACACTAAAACTAGACTCAGCACACACACGCGTGCACACACACACACACACACACACGCACACGCACACTCACACGCACACGCGCGCACACACACACACACACACACTTGTTTCTTGACCTCGTGAGGACCTTCCATTGACTTCCATTCATGTTTTTTAGACTTTATTTCCTAACCCTTGACCATATACTCTAAAATTAACCTCACAGAAACTTACCTGACCCTAAAACTAACCTAAACCTTGGTCCTAAACCTAACCCCACACCTGTAACATGCATTTGGACCCGTGGGGACCTGGCATTGTTCCCCATGATTCACTTTGGTCACCGCGAGGCTGCTCTTTTGGTTAAAAAATACCCCACGTTGTGGAAAGAACCCGTCCACACACACACGTTTTACACTACTGGAGGTTCCTCTGTCCACAGAAGTCTTCAGTTTAGGACTTTGTTCCTGATACCTTGGCTGTTGCCTGAGCTCGCACCTCTGGTCCTCCAACAATGTCGAGCGTGTCGTACAGCTGTTCGTACACCTGGTAGACCACAGAGCAACAGAGGACGAGTGAGTCGGAGCAGAATGAGCAGGACATCAAACATTTGTCACTCTGGTTGAGCCAACAGTTTGGCTTTTCAAAGGTGGAGGTGTAAAGGCCCATCTGTCTGTTCACTTTAAAGGCACAGTGTGTAGGATTTGTTGTTTTCAGCGACATCTAGTGGTTGAGTGGTTGAATCATCCTCCCTGGTCCTTCCCCCACCCCCACCCCCGCTTCCAAACGCAAAGGAGTTGCTACGGTGTCTCTCAGGTGTCAAAAACCTTTGATAATTCCAACCGCGATGTCTACCAGCAGCTTCAGGGCTAGTGATGTTTCAAGTGGTAAGATTATGAGCTTTAATAAGTAAAATTATCCCAGCTACAATGACAGACAACACATATTACATCTATAGTATTAAATGTTAAATAATTAAAT